TAGTAAGATTATGTTCCTTATAAAACATACTTTACCCCAAAGGGAGGATAGAATCTTATTCGTGTAGCATAGTATCCCCAAATAAAATGCTACTCAAATGTTAGACCGTCAGATTCTAATTGTTGGTCATGAGGAGCCTGCAACCCAGAGTACCTGGAGGGACTTTTGACTTAGCAAGTCCGCTTACTATCCCTAAGTAACCCTTGATATAAGCCCCATCACACCTATAATTAAGCAATAAGCAGACTTACTAAGTCAAGAGAGCCGCGAGTAAGGTCTAACTTGGGCTACATGAGGTTTCCAGAAGCCCTGGGCCCTATATATTGCGATAATATCGCTTGCTACCGCCTTTCCCTGTTGCAGAGACTCCTGACCCCTAAGGTCAAACTTCGGATACATCTTCCAAAGTGCCAGCGGCGTGTGGAAAAGCAACCAACATCCCAATCTGACCTTGGCAGAAGCCGGAGTCAAGAACATAGGCTGCTTGGCTCAGGTACTGCAGGGGTCTTGAGATGAAAACGGTTTGCAGGTATGGTATACTATACCATTATGGGGATAGTTAGGGAATCAAAGTGGCAAATATACTTTTCTTCAAGCTTCTACAGTAGATACCCAGACTCTAGGAGGGGTTGTTCTTAGGCTTCGGGCTGACGTGGCCTGGACCAAGAAAGTCGGGCCAAGGACTTGAGGGTTTAGGGTTTACCTGAACCCCAATAGTACGTAACATAATGGCCTTTGAGGCTATTAATTATGGGTGTTGGGCTATTATTTTACCTACTCTTGGGGCCCAGGTAGGGTTGTTTTAAGCCCTTCTGGCCAAAGAGAGGTATTGGGTTTCCGGCTTGGGGGCTGCGTTTAGGGTTTAGGGTTTAGGGTTCAGGGTGATCTTTGTGCTTCTTCTTCGTCTTTGCTTTTCCTTGCGACGGGTCAATGTTAGTACAAAGTATATACTTGGCCCTACATATACGTATATACTAAAGCTCTAAACCCTAAACCCTACACTATAGTAGTTTCCATTTTCTTTTCCATTATCCCAATATAACCCCTATATAACCCCTGTATAATCCCTGTATACCTACATGGACCCTTTGGGATCCTTGGGCTTTTTCTTCGTATTTGCTTTTCGTCAATAACACTCGCAGCGGGTCAGTGTTGTTATATAATGTATATTCAGCCCTACATGTAAGGATATACTAAAACCCAAAACCCTAAGCCCTAAACCTTAAACCCTAAACCAAAAAAAACAACTTAATATACCTACATGGACCCTTTCAGACATAAGGATACCAAGTTGTTCCTTGCATCTACATGCCTTGGTATGGCACGGACCCGGCGGGGCACCCTAAATGCCAGGTTCAGGCTAAAGGGTTTAGGGTTTAAGGTTTAGGGTTTAGGGTTGTTGAAGTCAGTTTGTTGAGAATCCCAATACTCAGGGTATGAGCCATGTTTAGACCAAACTCTGAACCCTAAACCTTAAACCCTAAACCGCGTGATCTGGATTTGTTTGGCCACATTTCGGACGCTGCTTTCTGTCACCCTAAACCCTACACCCTAAACCGCGTCCTCCATCCGCTGCTCAAGTCCGGTAGATGTTCATCCTCTTACACCGCCTAAGACCACCGCACGGTTTCAAGTCCAAAAGAGGGGCACCCAAATATAAAGCCCAAAATACTGTAGTCTCATAATTGGGACCCCCTAAAAAAATGAACCCAAATATGAATTGGGCAACCTCCATCCACAGAATATCCAAGCCCTGTTTCAGGGTTAAGGGTTCAGGCCTAGACCCTAAACCCTAAACCCTGAACCCTAAACCCTAAACCCTAAACCCTAAAGCCTAAAGCCTAAACCCTAAACCCTAAACTGGGGTTTCTGAATCAGGTGATAGGGTCCACTTCATGGGCGACTTCGACATCACCGCTCCTGGATCCGCTATGAAGACCTCTGCCCCTCCTACGCCTTCCACTGCTCCATCCTCGCCCCCTACCATGCCTGCACCTGGGTTGCTGTTAAGGAATGTAAATTAAGTTACTACATTGGGGAAACCCTATTATTTACTATATATATACCCATTATGGTAACTTAATTTAAGTTCCTTAACAGCAACCCAGGCACCCGCCCCTTTAGCTCCAGCATCTGGGTTTGGCAGCAGAGTCTTCAGCCCTTGTTTTGTGTCCTGTGATAATACTAAACCCCTGCGGGACCCTAAGTGTACCATAGAACGAAAATGCCTAAGATTTATAGGATTGAGATACGCAAGGTCATGTAGGTTTTTGTCCGTCAACAGTAGGCTCCCCAAATAGCTACTCCTCGGCACTTAGCTAGGCCTTTAGACCCTTAACTTTTTGGATTTTCCACTATATTCATATTACAGGTACCTGACACTTAACTTTTAGTAGGGGTGCAAAGTGCCACATTGACTAGAGCACACGGAGAAGGGAACCCTAAACCCTAGAACCCTAAAGCCTAAGCTCCAGATCCTAAACCCTAAACCCTGGAACCCTGAAGCCTAAACTCCAGACCCTAAACCCTAAATCCTGGAACCCTGAAGCCTAAACTCCAGACCCTAAACCCTAAATCCTGGAACCCTGAAGCCTAAACTCCAGACCCTAAGCCCTAAATCCTAAACCCTAAATCCTAAACCCTGGAACCCTGATTTCTGTAATCCGAGGCATGCTCCCCAACGACCACAAACTCGACGGTCGACTTGAAGCCGGGATGCTGTTTAGGGTTTAGGGGCTTAGGGTTTTAGGGTTTAGGGTTTAGGGGCTTAGGGGTTTAGGGGCTTGGGGTTTAGGGTTTAAGGGTTTAAGGCTTAGGGTATATGAGCTGTAGTCTAAACTTCTTAACAGGTGTTATATAGGGGATTACTAGAGGGCTTATTAAGGGGGGTACTAGGAGTTTAGACTATAGCTATGGATATCAAGGGTTTACGGTTTAAGTTAACCATAATATGGGTATATAGGCTTAGGGGTTGAGGATTTAAGGTTTAGGGTTTAAGTTGCCACGATATGGGTATGTAGGGTTTAGGGTTTAGCCTTTGAGTTACCATAATATGCCATAAATGGGGTTTGGTTATTATAGTAATTTAACTCAAGATTTATGGCTACATGCCCATATTATGGCAACTCAAAGGCTAAAAGTAAACCCTAATCCTTAAATACACAACCCTTAAGCCTATATACCCATATTGTGGTAGCTCAAACCCTAAACCTTAAATCCTAAACCCTATATACCCATATTGTGGTATTTTTGAACCCTAAACCCTAAACCCTTAAACCCTAAACCCTTTCATCCCAAACCCTTAACCGACTTAGGCTCCTCAACAGCAACTGAGGAAGGTCACCATTGACGCTGTGAGCAAAAGCCTGACCAAGATCTGCAAGGTCCCTAAACCCTAAACCCTACACCCTAAACCTTCAAGCCCATATAAACTAACCATTACTTAGGGTTCCCAAATTTCGCTAATTTTAAAGCTTCAACATCAAAATGGCCACCCCCCAAACTCTAAGTAATGGTAATAAGCCCTAAACCCTAAACCTATAGTAGTTTCCATTTTCTTTTCCATCAAACCAGAGACTTTACGTAAGTTTGTACCCTGGATGTTTGTAACCCCAGTTTTTGGGTCCCAAATACCTTTCTTAAGGGCCATATCCCATGGTTTGGGGACCCAAACCCAAGGGTACAAACCTTAAGGGTGCAAAGGACCCTAAACCCTAAACCCTAAACCCAACTCCCTGGTGCAAGGTGAGCCTTGGAAAGTGCGTTTGGGAGTTCGGGCAAGATGCGGGGACGGCCATGCTGTCCAGTCCAGCTTCCCATGGATGCGTCTTCAGCTGCCTGCCCTATGTTGGGGTTGTAGGTACCCAAAACCCTAAACCTAGTAGTATTTACCCTAAACCCTAAACCTACTAGTACTTACCCTAAACCTTAAACCCTAATAGTGTTTACCCTACGTAAACCCTATTTAGGGATTAGGGTTTAAAGCTTAGGGTCTAAACTCCTTAAAGGGGGTTATATAAGGGATGATCATAGGGGCGTATGATACGGGTTATTAAGCGGGATACTAGGAGTTAAGATTATAGCTCATATTCAGAAGAGCCTGCAAACCGCACCCTCAGAAAAAAAAAAGAAAAAAATCATGGAAACCCAGAAAGGGCCCTGCTAAGGGCTTAGGGTTTAAGACTGCAGTCCTTTAAAAAGGGGGCTTATGGGTTTCCATGTTAGTTGGGGGGAGTGTAAACCCTAAATAACCAACCTGAAATTCAGGATTATGAATCATTCAGACCTTGCCCAGGCTATGCTGGGCAGCATTGGAGAAGCAATCAACATCCCACCCTCACTTTTTCGGAAGCGGGTGTGCGCAAGAATGGTGAAGCAGTCACCTTTTCGGCAGATGTTCAACCTCTGTGCTCCCAACAGTCGAGTGCGGCAGTAGAGCTGAAAGTGGCTGGGGTACACTTGAAAGTTTGTCTCGATTGTTTCCTAAACCCTAAACCCCAAACCTTAAAGATGTTCTGAGCGCTCTCTGTTGACCTGATGCTTGAATAGGAGCAGAAAGGTGCTAATCCTCCAAATCTGTGTTAGGTCGGCCCCGCAACCCTCAGTACCAGCCCTAAACCCTTAAACCCTAAAGCCATAAGCTCGCAGACCCTCTCAACCTGTAAGCCCTAAGCCCCTGAACCCTGAACCCTAAACCCTGAATCCTAAACCGTAAACCGTAAGCCACTAAGGTCAGCTTTTTGGACAAGAATGGGGTCCGGTCGACGACAGGACAAGCACCACTCGACAGGTGTCACTTCTTCAAAATACCAGAGTGTATGATATGGTGCTCCCGTCTGCTTAGGATAGTAAGAATGTATACCTGAACCTCAAAGGTAGGCAAGTAAAAGCGCTTATTCATAAGAACAGCCCGAAAGATGATTTTTCTACATAACTTTGGGGCCCAGGTGTTCCCCATGATCCCTCCTTTTGGCACAAAGCCCCAGGTGTGTCTGGACCTTCGGCGCAGATATGGGAATGCGGAAGTTGACCACCGGACCTCTATCCAACTATGGATATGTGTTTCCTGCCAGTCCAGGAACCTACCCTAAGGCTCTTGGAACCCCCATGATGGATTCCATTGCCTCCAAAGCCCAAAATTTTGCCGCAGAAAGCCCCAGACGGGTTGATTGTTTGGGTTTATAGGTTCTAGAGGGATTTAGGGCTTAGGTTTTAGGCAAGTAACCCTTAACTTCTCTGCGAAAAGGAAAGCCCCTGTATTGACTAAACCCCAAACCCTAAACCCTAAACCCTATACTGACTAAGCCCCAAACCCTAAACCCCAAACCCTAAACCCTAAATTGACTAAACCCCAAAAGTCCTGGCTACGGGGACGGGCAGCCCCCAGGTTGGAGTGTGTCAAATGCAGAGTCAATTAAGCTTGCGAAAACTTGGGTGGGGAGATCTCTCAATTCCTACAGGGTTCCTGAAAATAGACATTAATTTCTGTTACCAACAATCCTAATATTTAGCTGAAATTCTAATTTCTACTGGGGTTCCAAGTCCCTTAGAGATTCATGTAACCTATAGTCGAACCTCCTTGAAGTGGCCGTTATGTAGGGGATTATACAGGGCAGCATCTTGAGGTTGTTGAGGAGGATACTAGGATTGCAGACTATGGCTCATGTTATTGCGGTTCCCTATAGTGAATTTGCAACTACAATGCATATGGGTCCCTACATCAATTTCCCAGCAAATTTTGGGAACAGTAAGTTAGGCCAAGGCCCAGATGATACATGACACCTAAACCCTAAACCCCCTAAGGTTTAGATGTGGCAACAGTGAGTGGAGAAGCAATCGAAATCCGAACTTGACCTTGGCTGATGCTGGCGTGGCGGAGGGCGATTCAGTGGACTTTCTCGGAGACTTTGAGCCACCTGCTTCTGCCGGCCCGATACCGTTGGTGGAGGTGAAGTAGGGTTCCAGTGTTGGTTTGTGATGAGTGTATAGAGGGTTTCCTAGAAATCTTGGTGTAGAGGTATATTGATTGTCCAGCTGGAAACTAATCAATACAAACCATAGGTCAGGTGAGGATTTTCCGGAAGTAACACAAGCTCTTATACTTGGATTCCTAGTCTGATGCCGGTGTTGGCGTAAGCTTACTATACTCCGTTGGCTTTCAGACAACCAGAGGTGCATGTCACCCTTGTCAGCAAAGACAAGAAGGAGACTTCGACTCACAAGACCACACTGGACAAAGGAGTTTGGAGATTCGGTCACTTGCTGGCACAAACATGGCCCTTATGCCTTTACCCTAAACCCTGTAAGCTTAACCCTTAACCCTAAACCTTGTAAGCTTGGCCCTTGACCCTAAACTCTGTAAGGTGAAGAGCAAGCCGCGGTCAGGAACCTGATGACTAGCTCGCTGTCCCGTTTTGGATACATCTTCCACTTTGGAGAATCCTGGGTAAATTAGAGCAGGTCTCAGGGTTTAGGGTTGGGGATTCTATCTGGATGACATATACCGGCATAATGGAGAATGAGGCTGAAAAGGAAATGGGGAATGATATGGAGTCTGGGGTTAGACAGCACTTTGCAGGGCTGGGTAAGGAAAAGCCCCAAGTTGTAACCAGGTAATTCATATCTTATAGGCTCCCACAGCTACTATATACATATATATATATATATACATATATATATATATACACATACATATGTCTACACATATATATATATGCATCTAGGATATTAAGGTTTAGGGCAAAGGGCGGTGGCTTTGAGAAGGGTTAGCTATAGGGGTGTACGGATTGAGAAGAATTCGGGTTAAGAGCGCCGGGTTGTTTGGGACATGCTTTTCACTTTGAGGAATCTTGACTGTTTTGCCAGACCCCTAACAAATCCCCAAACCATGCTCCATGAAGCGAGCCCATGACTATGTTGGGCACGGAGAATATTATTTGAGCGTGCGTGTGTTCGGATTCCCCAGGCGGTCTGAGTTTTGGACGGGTTTTGAGGTTTCATCTAGACAGTCCTTGTACGATGCCCCTCATTTCATGTTCAGCAAACATGACGCGTGAAGTGCAAAGTGCCCCAACATGGGAGTTGCTCAGAAGTGTCTCCTCAGAGTCCTTCTGGGGTCCCCCTGCTACCACTTCGTAGTCCCCCTTATATTCCCCTAAACCCTGAAAACCCTGAGAAATACACATCTCTGGGTCAGGAACAGGCGTGGAGAAAAGGTCATCACCCCGACTTGACCTTGGCTGATGCAGGAGTGAAAGATGGCGACGTGGTTGAGTTTACAGGCAGAGGGTTCTCAAAAGGATGGTTCCTTTCTAGTATATTACGGCCTCCAATATTTGTCAGCATGTACATCACCAAACAACGTTTAGGACATGTCAAGGAGGAGTGCATTTTTGAACGCCCCCCTTTTGCAGGTGACTTCGAGGCGCTTTAGCTCGGAGCGCCGAGTTTTGGTACAGGGTCCTAAAATGGATCTACCACACAAAGCCTGCAAGGGCTTGATGCTGTGGTTTGTTTTTGGGGGTTTCTGAAACAGCTAGTTTTCACTTGAGTCCCACTGAGCCGATACTTGAAAGGAAGAGTGGGAACACTCGTGAGCAAATTCCAGTGAGCTGCATTTCCTCAAGGGAGCTTTTACAAAAAAAAAGTTGTACAGTGGAAAGATCCTGACAGCTGTCGGCAAGAGATTCGACAGAAGTCGGCTGCAGCCCGCTTTTTCGTTGAGATTACAGATTGCCTTCAAGATGACATGGTGTGGCGCGTATGTGCCTGAAAAGCTTCGTGAGTGAGAACAGCACAAGTGGTAGTTTCCTAGATAGGGGTACCCCAACATAGATCCCCAAGTACGATAGTCCTTGTTATGGGGACCCCCCCAAAAAGGTACCCCTAATTTTGGGAAACCTTAAAACATCCCTAAAATATCCTATATAACCCATATATCCCCTTCAAGGGTAGCCATAATTTTGGGAACCTCTCATCCGCATTTTGCTGGTTTACGTGGAGGTCAGCAATCAGGAGAACACTTTGGCAAATTGTAGTGGGCTCAGGGTTTAGGGCAGATACATGTCCCCAAAATGGCCATAAAGTAGGTTCCCTTTTTGGGTTAAGATCTCCTTTTAAAGAAGTGTGTTCCCAATGGTCCTCTATTTACAAGACATTTAGAACACCAAAGGTAGGCTAAATATCTTAGTCCAGAACCCCATTCAAAACAAAAAACAAACAAACACACACACAGAGGCCATTATTCTACATACTCCTTGGGGTTCAGGAACATTTTGGGCAAATGGAGCCCAATTCGCGTTGTATGTGTTCGCTGAGGATTCTGGAGGCTCAGCGTGCCGCAGCATTGCGTTTTGCAACCCTCAGCTGAGTAGTATTTTATTCGAGCATACTATGGTACCCAATATAGAGCAAGATTATATCCTCTTTTTGGGGTATAGTATTTTATAAAAAAAATAATCTTATTGGGTTTAACCACCAAAAAATTGCTACTCACCTGAATCCCCCAAAACAGTAGGTCAAACAATGGCCCTAACCCATAGGAGTAGTCCACAAAGCCATTATTCTACCTACCTTTGGGGCTCAGGTACCCGGAAATCCTGCAACGAAACCTGAGTCCTCAAGCCCAAACCTTTACCTGCACATCCCGAACCCCCAACCGACTTCAAAGCCCAAGCCTTTATAGGGTTTAGGGTTTAGGGTTTAGGGTTTGGTTTAGGGTTTAGGGTTTAGGACCCCAAATTCGTCTGAAATCCTTACAGGGCATCCTGGAAAAGATCGCAGACTTGGTAGCACAGGCGCCCCAAGTGGCTGGGTTGCCGGGGGCTTTGTTGACTTAGCAATTCCATATACTTACTCTCCCAATACCTCCCTGAAAGGCTTCGGGTTTGGGTTTAGGGGCCTAAGCCCAAAAGATTGATCTGCGAGAGAGGGCTCTAAACCTTAGGTGATACGGTGGATAGACTTGCACTTGCACCACTTGAGCCATAATCTAAACTCCTGAAAGGGGGTTATATAAGGGATTCTGCAGGGAACTATTCTAGGGGTTATTAAGGGGGATACTTGGAGTTTAGACTATGGCTCACTTATGATATCTTATGATTTCCAAAAGACTGCAACTCCCAGGGTATATTGAATGTAGAGGGTGCGAGATTTCCTCCATGCACAGTTGTGGGCAAACCATAAACCCTAAACTCCTAAGCCCTAAGGGTTGATACGGTTCTGCTTCAAAAGCTCAGGCGCATTTCTCAGGAATCCCCTTTCCCTGAAATATATTGGGGGACCTTAAATATTAGGACCTGCGGGCGGGGAGGGGGGTTATGAAGTTTTTATGGTAAATTCGACTGGCGGATCTTGAAAAGCAAATGCACTTCGAGCATTCCTGGAAACGGGCCAGGACTAGATTCATAACATATACGTGCGGGGCTTAGAGTTTAGGGGGGGCTTCCGCAAAGCTAAAACCCAATTGAAGCTGAAGTTGCACCGACTAAGTTCCTTAAGGTTCGCTGGAGGGTACTTTGCATGTTTGAAGGGACCTGTGGGGCTCCTGTGAAAGTGTCTTGGTGGGAAGCCCGACGGAACATTAGGGAAAAGTCTGGTATCAGAAACGGATACGGACTACGGGATAAATACTCCCAAACATAGCGAACCTCATCATGAGGGAGCCTCAAAAAGGCAGCGCTAATTTTTGGAAGCCGCCTTTGCCTGATACTAAAAATCCTGCATGGTCTCAGTACTTGATAGCATGGGAGGTCAATATATTAAGGTCACGCAGGTTTTTGGTATCAGCAGTATCTATCAACCGCCTAAGTGTTACCGGCCTCAGTGGCCTTCCACACTTTAGGGTTTACAGCGTCTAAGGTATTGGGATGTCGGGGCCATGTGCAGCTTTTGCTCGCAGTGCTGCAAGATAAGCATAAAGAGAAGCTCACTGGCTCTTAGTTGGGCATAAGGGAATATATTGTATAGGGGTTATAGTCCACTTAAGTAGATAGAATATGGGGTATATGGGGATCTTACTATAATATACCCAAGGCCATATTCTATCTACTTAAGGGGGATTAGTGAAAGGCAGCTCGCAGCGGCTTTGGCATGCGCCAAGCAGATGGGCGCGGTTTTGGCTGCAAGCGAAACCTGCGTGGTTTACTCGCTCTTCCCTTATATATATATATGTATATAGAACACGTCAAGCGCCTGGCCCAGGACAGCAAAACGCCGCGCAAACCGCAGGCCCCGTAGATTGAAACCCTAAACCCTAAACCTTTTGATAATCGACCTGCTAGGGCGGCTACAGCTCGGCAGGCGGCGTCGCCATGACAAATGCGCCACAACATGGTCATATCCCTTAAGCACTACCTGGGCCTCAAAAGTATGTAAAATAATGGAAAAGCAAATGGAAAATACTAGATTTAGGGGTTGTATTGGGTTTAGGGTTTAGGGCCCCAAAAGTATGTAAGATAATGGCCTTTATGGATATTATTATGGGTTTAGGGCTATTATTTTACATACTTTTGGGGTCCAGGTAGATTCTAGAGAGGGCAAGGTAGGCAGTTTTGGGTCACAGGTCGGAAGCCCCTGTGAAGCCGGCCTCCGGCATACGATCAAGGCGTGGAAAGTTATACAGAATGACCTCTAAGCCACTCAACACAAACCCCAAGCCCTACACCCCCCAACCCCCTGCCAGCGCTTGACAAAAATTGGGTTTCAGGTCGAGCAGATATGGGCATGTCATGAGACTATTCTACATTGCAGAATGTTCAATTCCAGTTTCCACTTTCTTTTCCATGTTTCCATTAAATGACCCATTATTATATTGGCCTTCTTTTCTTTTCTCGGCACTTCGTAGACGCAACCTTGAACCTTGAATCCTTGACCTTCAACCCGAAACTTACTGGTCCGTAGTAGGGAATATGAGAATACAATCCCTATATAACCCCTATATAATCCCTATATACTTAATCCCCATATAAAATATTTTCTCATTCTTTGCCAAGAACCAACAAGCAAGTCCGTAACCCTAGGCCGGCCTGACCCTAAATCCTAAACCCTACTTGGGGGGTCACATGGTACTTAGTAACTATTTATGACCCTACTTATACTTGGGGTAGCCCCTATAAGCCCATTTCGGGGGATTATAAGTAAGGTTATAAGCCCAATTATAAGTAGTTACTAATTCCTATGGGCCTCCAAGTAGTCGATCCTAAACCCGCAGCCGGCCTCGGGAGTCGTTCCAGGATGGGCAAAGATCTCCGCGAGAGCCAGGACGATGGCTCAGGGCTCCGTGGGTTGGGTTTCCAGGGATTTAAGGCCTCTACAAATCAGAGTTTAGGGCTTAGGGTTTAGGGCTTCTGGGGATTTAGGGGTTTAGGGTGAAAGGTTTCCAGGGCTAGGGGCTTAGGGTTTAGAGGTGTGAGGTTTAGGGCTAAGGGCTTATAAGGGTTTCGCGCCACGCAGCGGCAATGAATGTTACGTAGAAAGGCCGCCCCAGCGGTGCCGGTGGGGGGGTGGGTGGGGGGGGGG